ACGTGGGCCATGACATCAGCCTTGTGCGGGGTTGGCACTGGTACGATCCTTGCACCAGTAATGGCATTGCTGCGAGCCTGGCTTCGTCGTCACAAGCCTCACACAGGTGCCGGCATCGCTGAGAGCCTCGCGCACATGCTCGCGGGTTCTGTTGGTGTGGCACGCATGCTCACGGCCTGTGTATGCGCATGCGTGCACACGTGTGGCTGCATTCACATTTGCACATGCACACGTAATGCACCTGCCCCTCCCTCTCCCACCGGGCCACGAACCCAGAACAGTTGGGGACCCCTGGCTTAAGAGATGCAAACCTGTGAGAGAATATATGCCAAGCTCAAAATGTGTCAGGCTCATCCCAACTTAAATTTTTCGGAAAGGAAGACCCTTGACTCCATTCCTTGAAGTGAAAGCTTCTTTTCCTAAAGTCAAGCAGTTCTAGATATTAAGATGTTTTGTCATCTGCTAGTCTGGGTAATGTTGAATGAAAAACTAGGGTCAAGTGCTTACATTTAAAGTTCAAGATCTTCCACACGTCTGCAGTTGAGCTATTTGTGCAGGGAGAGTTCTTAAATCTCCTGAAGACTGCATGACTCCTGCTTTTTTTCCCCTTTTTTTTTCATGCGTATTGGAGCTTGTATTGATTTTTGGTGAGAATTCATTTTAATGTTTTCTAGCTTACCATGGAAAAGTAAATGGCCAGCGCTTTTAGGCAATGATTTGAGGCTGTTCATTTCTTTTATATATTTATTTATTTATTTTTGAACAAGTTTATTAAATTTCCAGAGAAAATAGAATACAAGATAACAAAAAAGGGGGAAAGGGATTCAAAAGGGGAAAAAGTGAAAAAAGGGGAGGGGGCTCTTCATTTCTAACTTCGAGGCATTGTCTTGGCAGCTTGAATGGGCACATAATAGTTCTGTCTTTAATTTTTTACGTTTTTGTGCCGGCTGTTAGCAACTGTGGGATTTATAAGGCTTTTTCTAGAAAAGAATGAGAAGCATCCATATTTTCAAACAATTGTAGAAATATTGCCCTTCAGGTGAAGTTCAACACAGATTGAGATTTCGGTATCTCCATCAAAAGATGTTGCTTTGTTGTGATAGGTATTTAAATGCTGTTGCTGACCATTTCCCCCTCACTTTTTTTTTTTTTGAGTCTGTATTCATTTAACTACTCACTTTCTCCCTGTTCGATAACAGTGATGTGTTAATTATATAATTATATATGTGTTCATGTCACTCATTGATACAGTCTGCCACCACCTCCAAACAGACAGTCAATATAAACTCCCATGCCCAGTAACAGGTGCCCTAGTCCAGCTATGCTGATTCAGGAATTCTGGGAGTTGAAGTCCATGAGTCCTAAAAGAGTCAAGGTTGCCTATCCCTGCCCTAGTCAAACAGGGAGTGGCCATCTTCAATGCTTACTTATCATCGTCATATCCTATCTTTCCATGTCTTATGCACCCCACAAGTGCGAATAGAGGGTGAAAATATAATGATTAAGAGCGAAATATAGAACAGTCCTATTTTGCGAGACAGGCTTTACCAGGACATTCTTGATAGCTGGAAGAGAAGATTAAATCTCCAGTTCTCATTCAGAATCACTGCTGAACTGAGGTCAGCTTGGGCTGAACTGATACCTTCTGTCCATAGAAAAACACTAACTAGGAATATTCCATTGAGTGTGTTGCACGATCACAACCAATGCATTTTGGATGGCAGAACAGAGAAGTTATAATTAGAACGGTTTCTATTTATTTTTTTATTTTAAGCTCCGCGCCAGGAAAAGCTGGATTCTGCAACCTAGCTAAATTAAGCAAATTAAAACATGGTTTGTAATTCATTTTTGGTTTGTTTATTGTTAGAAGAGCTCAGAGACCAAGAAATGAAGTTTTGCCTCCTGCTGCCAACATCTGTCTTTATCCCAGTCATTTTTAAAATGCCCTTGTATTTAAAGACACCATTTTGCATTTGTAAGCAATAGAAATGGGGGAAAGCACTTGACATTTCAAGAAATTGTCCAGCATATCTCACATTCCTGAGATCCTGTTGAGTTTTTCTATCCTGATATGTTTGTTTATTGGTGTACATCTGATCAGTGTATAGGCCATCTCAATTACTGTAGCAACTCCAGGCATGTAGAACAATCTAATAGCAACAATTAAAAACAAACTACAAAAGAAAAATAATCCTACCTATGTCAGATATCATGAACAGGCTTACAAATTACCCTATCCCAGGGGTAGGCAACCTTGGCTCTTTTATGACTCGTGGACTTCAACTCCCAGAATTCCTGAGCCAGCCATGCAAGGCCTGCTGGAAAAGCTAAGTCTTCAAGTCTTTTCTAAAGAATAATAAGTCTGGAGCATTATAGACTTTAGGGCAGAGGTCCCCAACCTTTTGGGCACCAGGGACCGGTTCCGTGGAGAAAGGTTTTTCCGCAGATCAGAGAGTGTGTGTTTTTGTGTGCTGCCTGCATCCCACGGATGGGACTTTGCATGTTTGTGCGGACCGGTTGCTGGCATGCCACGGCGCGGTACCAGTCCACAGACCGGGGATAGGGGACCCCTGCTTTAGGGGGAATGCTATTCCAAAGGATAGGTACTGCCATAGAGAAGGTCCATCTCCAAAGATAGACTTAGAACATGCTACCCTGCAAGGTCTTACCAGTTGAGTAGAACCAGTAGGAGGAAGCCACAGGTATCCAGGCCCTAAACTATGAAGGGTTTTCTAGGTGACAGGTAGCATCTTGAATTTCACCCAGATATCAATGGGTATCTAGTGCAGCTTGCAAAATGGAGGTGCCACATGGGTGAAATGAAAGTGTATCTATAAGTACTTGAGCTGCAATGTTCTGGGTCAACTATAGCTTCTTAGTGTTCTTCAAGGGCAGCCCCCTGTAGAAAGTGTTGCAGTGATCTAAATAAGGTATTTATTGTTTGGTGTGCGGATTGAAAAGTGGCACATAATCCTGGGGGTGTTTGGTGGCTTGAGAACACTCCTTCCATCTTTTGTCTTTTAACTCTCTTCTTATTTTGTTCTTCACTTTGTTTTTAACTATAGCTCTTTGTGTGGTTTTATGATTGGTATCTGAAAAACCGCCAAAAGTCTCTTGGATAGTAAGAAGGGTGGCATCTAAATTTGATGAATTAAATGAATAAATATAGTTAATATTGGAGTGACTGCAAGAAAGGTCTTTCAGTCCAAGGAAAGGGCACGATGATATTTTGCTATAGTGGCCACTTTCTCATCTTTCCCAAGTCTTATCAGCTGAGGATATCAGAAGCTTTGTGAGCTCGCAAAAGTTGGGTAGAATTTTCCCAACACTTTTCCTGAAGTTGGTGCATGGCAATAATCATGTCAATAATCCCATGATCTTTGTAGAAGCTACTCTGTGATTCTGGCAGCAGGCCCAGCTCCAGGTGAGTGGCCAGATGATTTAGCAGAACTCTTACAAGAGTTTTTACTGTGATGAAGAACAGTGAGATTCCTTGGTGGTGGTTGCATACTTGTTTGGTTGCCCTTCCTCTCATAGAGATGAATGAGACAGGCATCTTGACATTCCTGAGGAACGGATCCTTGCTTCCAAAAGACTAGAATAACTCAGTGAGTTTCTCTTTAAATACAGGACTACCGACTTTATAGATCTCTGCAGGCATGCTGATTGCCCCTGGGGCTTTGCCGTTGGATAGGTGACTGACAGCTTTTATAACTTCAGCTACTACCGGTGGGTCATCCATGGTGCTGTTGATGTCGACCTGGGGAATCCTGTCTATTGCTTCATCAATAAATGATGGTCACTTGAGGATGGCATCAAAATGTTCAGCCCATTTCTCCAGGATCTGAGCTTTCTGTGTAATGAGAGTTGTGCTATCTGTATTTGGAAGGGGAGACTCCCAAGAGACTGAGGTCCTTAGAGGGTGTTAGCAGCTTTAGCAGCTTCATAGAATCATTTCAAGTGGTTTCTGCCAGCTTATCCCTGTATATCATCTGCCTTGGCGCTCAGCCAGGCATCACACATTTTATACAGTTTATTCTGGACTGTCCTGAAAGCACTAGTAAAGGCATTTTTCTTGGCAGTTGATGATGAGTAGTCCTGATGGACAATGAAGATGATGCTTTTCAAGAAATAGCCTGTATCTCCTCATCATTCTCATCAAATCACTCATGCTGCTTGCAGGTGGAAGGCCCTAGCATCTTCAGTGCAGATCAATAGGCACTATCCCTCTAAAACGGGGGTTCTCAACCTTGGCAACTTTAAAACTTGTGGACTTCAACTCCCAGAATTCCTCAGCCAGCAAAGCTGGCTGAGGAATTCTGGGAGTTGAAGTCCACAAGTCTTAAAGTTGCCCAGGTTGAGAACCCCTGCTCTAAAATGTTCCCAGTTGTCCTCAGTATTGTGAGCAAGATACAGGTAGCAAGTTTGGTTTCTTATTCTTCAGCCAGTGCTGTAGCCAAACTGGCAGGATCCTGCCTGTATTTTCTCCTGACAATTACATGGTCAATGAGATAAAATGCTTCAAGTGGGAATTTATCCAGGAGATCCTGTTATGGGTTGGCAGCCAGAAAGTTGTACGTTGGTGATGAGAAGGTAATGTGCGGCAGAAGATCAACTTCTTGGTGCCGCTGATTGCTGATAGTAAGCTGCCTAGTTCTTCGCAGAACTATCTTTCATCTCATCCAGGTTGATCATGATGGAGGCATAGGCCCTGATCGGGTTGGCTTGAAGCTGTAGTGTCATGAGCTGATCATTCACACCCTTGAGGAGATTGGCAGATTTACAAACAAGGTAACACATGATGGCAAATCCAAATCCAACATCGTGAAGCTCATTGCTGTTACAACCATTTCAGAAAAAAAGTGTATCCACCTCCAATTTCAGTCAGCTGACTTTTGTTAGCAAAGACGAGTCTCACTTAAGAGTTGCAATGTTAATGTTATACCTTGAAAGCTCTCTGGTTCATACAGCTATATGTTTCTCTGTTTTGTCTACTCTAGGTTGTTCAAAAGCATTCCCGTGTTCCAAGTGCCAATGGTGAGTGGAGTCACCTTGTGTTTATGTATGTTTGCTTGACCATAACATTGCAATAAATTGTCCACTGGGTAGTGAAGCAAACAAAGTTTGAGGCACCTTTTCTAGCCCCTTCCTTATGCTACGGAGGTGAGCAGGGTGTCCTAAAAAGGGCTGCTCAGATAGATGCTAAGTTACACTCTTGCTTTGATCAGTGAAAAGGTACATCATAATTATCTCTGAAATCCTATTGTGATGGATGAAGAATGAAACAGCAGCTCTGGAATCACTGGAAGCAATAGTCACGCAACTGTTGCTTCCTGTGATTCCAGTTCTGTTTCATTCTTGTCCATCACACTAGGACTTCAGAGATGATTATGATGTCAAGGCTAGTGCATGATCTGGATTTAAGTGAGGGAGGGTTGTGCAGTGTAGCTTCATTCTCTCTTCCCAATGAGTCCAGTGGTATGACAAGAGTCGAGCTGGGACTGGGCACAGTGGTGGACCAGGAGGTCTTCTGTGCCTTGTTGGGCTCTTCACATTCCACAATGCTTGCAGAGACTGCCTTCTTGACTTTCCATTGGTCTCATCCACTGAGCACACTGGTGTCTGTCTTTTCATGCTGGGATAGGCAACTCCCTATCTCACCAGAGGTTTAAGATAGTTGAGCTGCCCTCCCCTGGTTTAGCCAGCTTGTCGAAGCGGTTGTCTGGGCTGTGAATAGCCACAAAGGATAGCTAAGTGCCAGGTGGGGTCCGAAAGTGGGTGAACTGCCCTATAAAAAGGATGTGACATGTTCCCCTGTCAAAAGTATCTCCCCCTGACACTGCATGCACCCCAAATATCAGAAATAGGGATTATTTGATTCTCCAAAGCCTGCTTTAATGTTCTTTGATATGACAACATTTATATCTCACTGGGCTCTGGATAGCTTAGGTTGTACTTGAGCATGGTCTGCAAGATGCTTTCCTGCTGATGGGGGTGGACGATGTGTATTTTCCAAGCTTTTAAAACAACACAGCAGCAGAGACAGAGAAAAGACGGCTTTGGCCTGCGGCAGACATGATGCGACTCGATTAAATTTTCCTTTTTTGTGCACATTCAAGAGCATCAGGGAAAATGTCATATTTACATAAAAATGATACTACTTCATTGGGAGAATACAGGCAATTACTGGCCCATTCCGTCTCTGGCACTTTCAGACAGTAGGCAAACGTGCCTAGCCGTACTAGAGGTTGGGCAGTTAACACCTACTAAATTTGAACCAATATATTTCTCTGGTGTTCACAGGTACACACTCTGCTCTGTCGTGATAATTATTTTATTTGTTTATTAGCTTTCCATTCTGCCTTTATTGCTTTGAAAGTAACTCAAGGCAGCAAACATACATAATACTCCTTCCTTCTCTGCTTTTTTTCCACAACAACAGTCCTGTGAGGTTGGCTGGGCTGATTGAGAATGACTGGACCAAAATCACCCAGCCGACTTTCATGCCTAAAGTAGGACTAGACTTAGGCCAAGGGTAGGCAACCTTAGCTCTTTTATGACTCGTGGACTTCAACTCCCAGAATTCCTGAGCCAGCATGGCTCAGCTTGGAAACCTCTCCCTTTCCCCTCGGCATGGCTGGCTCAGGAATTCTGGGAGTTGAAGTCCACGAGTCATAAAAGAGCCAAGGTTGCCTACCCCGGCTAGGCTTACGGTGTCTCAAAGGTGCTTTTTCAAAAGGCAACTGGACTTTGTTTTTCCTTGAAGACTGAAGAAGCTTCTTGGATGAGAAGCAAAATGTCTTCAAGGAAAAACAAAGTCCAGTTGCCTTTTGAAAAAGCACCTTTGGGACAAGCATGACCTGGATGACTGAGAACCTCTGTAGACATTTAGGCCTCACAGTCTTCTGCAAATATAACTGCTGCCCATACATGAAATGATGTTCAGAGGTCGTTCCAGGACCTTTTCTAGGGAAGTAAGCATCTGTCTAAGCCAGTGGTTCTTAACCTTTCTAATGCCGCGACCCCATAATACAGTTCCCCATGTTGTGGTGACCCCCAACCACTTATACATCACTGGGTGCCAGGAGCGTGGCCAAAGAAAAGGGGGAAAAAATGGCGGACAGCCTTGTTTGGTGACCCCGGTGAAATGGTTGTTCGACCCCAAATGGGGTCCCGACCCACAGGTTGAGAACCACTGGTCTAAGCAGATGTTCTGTGTTCTTTTATTGATAACTGTTCCTTCACTCATAACTTTGTTTAGCCTTTTGACTCCATCAGTTTGGGAAAGGCAAGTACGCTTGCTTCCCAAAGGGCATTGTCCCTGTTGTGCTACATCATTTTTAATACATTGTAATGGCATTCAAAAACATGGCGATTAAGAACTATAGCCACGGCAGGCAAGCAATGGAACAAAATAGCAAAATTTAAGGATATTCATAGGGTCAAAAATGAAATGTTATTGTGTTTTTATTTGAATTTTATTAAACATTTTAAAGAGAACGTTAAAAACTAACACACATTAATACAGAATAAAGAGAACAAAGAAAGAGAGAAGGAAAAAAGAAAAAAGTGCAGAAAGAAAGGATAAAAAGAAATAGAAATAAGAAGCTTCTGATTTCCCTTGTAGCACATGTGATTACAAGGTTATCTCTTATTCTATGATTACAAAAGAAGCTCATTTTTTTCTATTATCCTTTTTCCCCCTAATCATCAAAACCACGTCTTAAGTGCATTTTTTTTTGTTTCATGAAAAAAGTCTATAAGGGTTTCTAGTCAACCATAAATGTAGATTCTGTCTAATCAAAAAGAAAAAGAAAACTTTATTGTAAAGGTGAGGATGGAATGATGCTTGTAGATAATGTTCTGGAACCATAGATGCATAACATATTTTTTACAAGAAGAGGTTTTAAGTAATTATGAGATGTGTCCTAGGCTGGCAAAAAAGGGAAAAGTCCAAATAAACAAAGTGAATTTTGTACAGCAAAGGAAACCAAAACTTTGATAGGAAGAATGTTATCCAGTTTACATATTTACCAAATAAGCAAAAAAAAATTGAGCCATTTCACGATGTAGATAGTCTCTCTCTCTCTCTCTCTCTCTCCCACTCTCTCTCTCCCCCCCCTCTCTCTCTCCCCCACACAGGTGCATCTGTACATATGCATATCTGAATGTACCTCACAAAGACGGGAAAAACTTCAGAGAGAAAACTAGGCTGAATCTTTTTCTGTCTTGAACTAACTTTCTATATGCGGTGATGTTTATGTTTTTTTTATATAGAATGCATCCAGCTTATAAAGGGATGGACTAAAGAAAGCTTTTTACTACTTGAAACTGCAAAAAATATAAATGAAAACAAATTGTTATGCAGCAGTTGGTATCACATCCTCAAAAGTACAGAAATGTTGTAAATAAAGTAAAAAATGTTATGTGGGCAGTTCACAAATAAAAAATGAAATATAAAAATAATAAATATAGCACATCAATATATAATCTAAATCAGATAAAAGCACTAGAATAAAAACAGAATGAAACAGCATCAGCATACAATAGCACAAGGAATGTAAAAGCAGTACAGCTAAGATGTAAGAAAGCTTAGGAGGGTATTAATCTGGCCCTGAAAACAAGGATATCTGGGAAGCTGCTGAGAAGAGGGTATTCCACCCAAAAAGCATCTTAGAAATCAAGTCTTGGAGCCATTAAAAGAAAAGTTGACTAAAAAAAATGTTTGAATATTCCTCAGCTCAAGTGATTTAGGAAGTCCAGTTTACAAATTCTTCAAATGAGGGAGAGAAAAGAGAGAAATGCCTGTTGGTGGAAAGTAGAGTTTGAATTGCAAAGGATTAAGAAATGTGAAGACCTTTTTAATCCCTCAAATAATGACGGGCCTTCCACCCCCCACCTTCCTATCAGCTGGTACTACTGCATCTTACAGGATACTGTTCCAGAAAAATGTAATTCTCATAGGAAGTGTAAGAACGTCCTTGTGGTGATCATGCTGATTTTTTTTATGCAGGTGACTGCTACTTGGACAATTCCATCAAAAATGGGAACAGTCAAATCCAGAATCGGTGTAATCAGTAACCTTTGAATTGCCTAGCATAATGGCCCTGAGGTACAATGGCCACATTACCACATAAAGATTTGTTTCACAAATCCCTTCTGTGTTCCTAATGAAAGAGCTGGTTTTTAAGAAAAATTAAGCTATCGTCAGCAAGCCTTCTGCTGTGGCCTTAGTTTAATTCATCCTTAAAATGTGCTCTGCTTAATATACATCTTTTGGTATCCAGAGACTACAGCCAACATTTTGGAAGCTCTGAGAGCCGAAATTGTGATTCAGAATAGACAGGGCTTCATCACACACAGAGACAAGATTGGAGGAGGGTTCGCCATTTTTTTTCCCAGGTGAACAGAAGGATTTTTCGTTGATTTTCAAGTGAATTAAACCTAATGCTTACTCCTATAGTTTTCTTATACTGTTCAGGGTTGTAGGTTGCTCACTCTTGATGTAGAATATAGAAATTCCTCCGAAACAAGTGCTCTCTTCATTCCTGAACACAAAAATCTCCTGTTTCCCTTGAGACAGAGACCTCAACCTTGAAAAAGGATAAATAGAAATGGCCAGTGATTTTATACAGTGTTGAGCTGAGAAGCTTTTTTTTTTTTGTGTGTAACGACAGAGATAGGGGCACAATACCCATCAAGTGCAAGGTCTAGCTTCATATTGCCAATTCGCTACCACAATTTATTGTGGAATAATTGGGTTGTTTCTGGGAATTCTTGAAAATAGCAGTGTGGGAACTGAATTTATCCAGCCCAATCTAAATAAATACCAATTAACAGTAATTATATTTTAATCATCCAGGATATATGCAGTAGTCCTCACTTAATGACTGCCCTGTTTAGCAACTGTTTGAAGCTAAGGCAGTGCTGAAAATGTAATTTTATGACTAGTCCTTGTACTTAAGACCGTCACAGCATGCTTGTAGTCATATGATTGACATCCGAGTCCCTTGTAACTGGCAGATGTTTACAACCGTTGCAGGGTCCTGTGGTCATTATGTGATGGCCATTTACACACTTCACAGCCAGCTTCTGACAAGTAGAGTCAAAGGAGAATCTGGCAGTAAAATCATGTATGTTTCAGTTAACAACTGCATCACATAGCGACAGTTTTTGGTCCCAAATGTGGTCATTAAGAGAGGACTACCTGTACAGTATTTAGTACCTAATGATAACGAAATCATGTAATGTTCCCAGCCAATACAAATGGTACGTTTATCTCACTTTTTTTCCCCCTAGAGAACAACTCATTAACAGCCCAACCAGGCATTTTACAGATGAGGGAGGACCACAAGTCCCACTATTCCTGTCTGCAAAGCTGGTGTTCTTGCCTAGTGGTAGATTATTAGAATTATAGTCATATAGTCTGTGGGGGTAATGCTGGCCTAAACATATTTTATCCTATGGTCCATATCCTTTTGTATTTCTGTAAATCAGTGTTTCTCAACCTTGACAATTTTAAGGCATGTGGACTTCAACTCCCAGAATTCCACAGCCAGCATTGCTGGCTGTGGAATTCTGGGAGTTGAAGTCCATATGTCTTAAAATTGTCAAGGTTGAGAAACACTGCTGTAAATAAATGTGCATAGATACCCATTTTCGTTATTTGTCAGTCTTTGCTCATTAAAATCTAATGATCCTTAGTTTTGCTCCATTGGCCACCCTGTGTTCCGTTTTGTCTGGCTGATCCTTCTACTCTCTTAATTATGACCAGGGTGGGCTTTGTGGACAAAGAAGGATCTTTACCTCTGTCATTGATCTATAGACGTGTGTGCATATTCTTCTAGGGAAAAGTAGCTCTCTCGTGGAATCTGGGAAGTTGAAAGATGTCTGATCAAAGGCATTCTCTGAGAAGGATGCTTAACAGAGACATTCTTTTGGAAGTCAGGGTTTTTCCGTCCCCTGCCCCATGCAAGGCACCCACTGCTGGGACATGGCAGGTTGTGTAGGGAGTCCCCCCCCCCGTTTGCTACTCTCACCTGCCCCACGATTTATTTCCTGCCCTGCAGTTCCTTCCCTGCAGCGTTTATGGTTACATTTCTATCCGTGCATCATCCGCGATTGATGTCCCCCTGTACGCAGGCAGAAGCTGTAACTCACCCTTGTGACTCGGGCTCCCAGCTCGTTACTCACAGGTTGGTGTCAGCCCCATGAGTTACAACTTCACTGCTCAGAGAAAAGTGCATGGAGGAGGCCAATGACCAGGCAGGACAGGGAGAGAGAGAGATGAACCCGATCTGGATGGAGGAGAAAATAATCCTTTCTTCTATTTCTTTCTCCAATAACCGACACCTTCCTCATATTTTAGCCTTGATATCTCTTAAGCCTAGAAAAATGCCAATAACCCTCAATTCCCTGGGCCTTTGTCAGGGGATTACACTTAACACTTGTCCCTTATTTCCCAACATCCCTAAGAGAAGGGGAAGTCCTATATTGCAAGTCAGGGCCACTTGTTAGAATTTAATGCCCAGCACTCTTTTAATTTTCAAATATTGTAAGCTAAAGGATTCCTTTAAAACAAGAGTTATTTTAAACTTGGCAGCTTTAAGAGGTGTGAACTTCAATTCCTAGAATTCCCCAGCCAACAAGTCCACACCTCTTAAAGTTGCCAAGTTTGAAAAATACTGATTTAAATACAGGCAGTCCTTGACTCATGACCACGATTGGGTCCAAAATTTCCATTGCTCAGCAAGGTTGTTAAGTGAGTTGTGCCCGATTTTATGACCTTTCTTGCCACAAGTGATTCACTGCAGTTGTTAAATGAATTACAAATGGAAGCAAATCCAGCTTCCTCCATTGACTTGGCTTGTCAGAAGCCAGCTGGGAAGGTCAAAAATGGTGATCACATGACCCCAGGGTGCTGCAACCATTGTAAATACTGTATATGTTGGTTACCAAGTGTCTGAATTTTGATTGCTGGCTGTGGGGATGCTGCAACAGTCGTTAAGTGTGATGAGTCACTTTGTTGTAAAGAGAGCCAGTATGGTATAGTGGTGAAGATGCTGGCCTAGAAACCAGGAGAAGGTGAGATCTGGACCTCCCCTTAGCACAGGGGTGTCAAACTCAATTTCATTGAGGGCCGCATCAGCATTGCGGTTACCCTCTGGAGGCCGGGTGGGTGCGGCCTACTGAGTGGGTGTGGATGTAGTGGGTGTGGCCTACTGGGTGGGCATGGCCAGCTCTACATCGTTCACTTCAAGGGTGCCTGTGGGGGCCTGGGCAGGAGTGGGACAGATCTGAGGGACTTTGGCGGAAGGGGGTGGGACCAGGGCAAGTGCCAAGGCATGGTCCACTGGAGGAGCCTCATTTGCTGGCCGTGGGGGGGGGGGCTGGATTGTGGTGCTGCACTTACCTCCTCCTCAAGGTGGCTGCTGCTGTGCTTGCTCTCCTTAGCCAGGTTGCTCGTGATACGTATGAGGGCAAAGTCAGAGGGAAGCCCATTCCCTCTCCATGGGAGGAGATCTGGCTTTGTATCCAAAGCTTCCTTAGCAATAGGATGGGAGACCCCCAGGATAGGCCAGGAGGAGGGGGCAAGGGGATGGTAAAAGGGCAGCAGGGCAGGACTAAGGCAGGACTTCCCTCAGACCCTCCCTCTCCTTCTTTCCTTTCTTCCCTCCTAAGTACAGAGTAGTGGGAAAATATTTGAGATGAGGGAGGGAGAAAAACAGGCAAGAAATGCAGCTGGGGAGGTGTCACCCTTCATGAGGAATGAAGAAATGCACCATCACCTGGAAGTAGCCAGTACATGGCCCTCACCTACTTCACATATCTGGCTTGGTGGGCTCTGGGGGAGGGGATGCCATGAGCAACGTGAGAGTCAACATTACCTGAGCAAGGCTGCCCAGCCCCCAGCCTGCCCAGTCTCGGCAGGCAGCGGGGCACTTTCCTCACAGCACCGAGAGGTTGAGCCGGGCGATGCGAAGCTCGCCAGCTTTGCACCTTGCTGCCTGCTGAAACTGGGCAGGCTGGGGACTAGGCAGCATTGCACTTCTCATCAGTTTCGCGCCACCCAGCTCAGCTCTTGGCACTGTGAGAAGAGCACCCCGTTGCCTGCTGAAACCAGGCAGGCTGGGGGCTGGGCAGCGTTACGCTTCTTTTTGAATTTGTGCTGCCTGGCTCAGCCTCTCGGTGCTGTGAGGAGAGTGCCCCGCTGCCTGCCGAAACCCCTCTCCCGGAGCCCATCAAGCCGGATATGTGAAGTAGGCGAGGGCCATTTGCTGGCCACTTCTTCATTCCTCACAAAAGGTGACACTTCCTCAGCATGCACCCAGGGTGCAGGGCCGACGCAGCAGGGGCTGGTCCCTCGCTGTTTCCAGATGACCTTGTGGAGCTAAGACTGAATGCGTTTCAGCATAGATGGCCACCATAAAATTGTACGTTGGTTCCCGGCCAGCCTGGGCCAAGGCAGCGAGGGCCATTCCCTCACTGTTTCCAGGATGGCTTCGTGGGCCACATGAAACTACTTTGCAGGCCGCATCTGGCCCCTGGGCCTTGTGTTTGACGTGTCTGCCTTAGCATGACAGTTGGCTGGGTGACTTTGGGGCAGTCACTTTCTCTTAGCTCACCTTACCTCACAGGGTTGTTGTTTTGGGGAAAATAGGAATATTAGGTAGGGTTCACTACTGCCTGAGGGGCTGCCACAAAGAAGAAGGGCGGGTCAACCTATTCTCCAAAGCACCTGAAGGCAAGATAAGAAAAAAATGGATGGAAACTAATGAAGGAGAGAAGCAACCTAGAACTAAGGAAATTTTCCTAAGAGTGAGAACAATTAACCAGTGGAACAACTTGTCTCCAGAAGTTGTGGGCGCCCCATCACTGAAGGATTTTAAGAAGAGACTGGACAGCCACTTGTCTGGAATGGCATAGGGTCTCCTGCTTGTGCAGGGGCTTGGAATAGAAGACCTCCAAGATGCCTTCCAACGCTGTTATTCTGACTT